GGGGGTAACAAACCCAGGGACAAGGGAACAACAAGTGATCCAAAATCAGTGGCAAGGAGGGTGTAAGAGGCCTGGTAGGGCTTGATCAAGGGCAATGTAATGGAGAGGAATTACTGAAACTCAAATAAAGGCTGAGCATAATAGTGGGACAAGAGGAAAGTAAAATAGAGGAAAGAACTGGGAGGCAAATGAGCATTTCTAGAGGTCTAAATACAGGCATGTGCATATGTAAATATATTTATATACGATAAGGGGGAAATAAATCTATGTGCATATAGTTATAGGTTTAGTATTCAGATAGCAGATGGACATTGGGCCTCTACTCAAGTACTCCCTCAATGCAAAAACACTTTGTTCTATTAAACTGGCATTCCATGATGCTCACCCTCCCAACATGATCGCTGAAGACAAAGTGGGTACATAAGAAAATGTGGTGAAGAAAGCTGATGGTGCCCAGCTATCAAAAGATACAGCGTCTGGGGTCTTAAAGGCTTGAAGATCAACAAGCTCAGAAGCAACAAAGCCCACATAGAAGAAGCACACCAGCCTGTGTGATCACAAGATGTTGATGTGATCAGGTAGTAGGCATCAAAGAACAAAAAATCATACTGGGGACCCAAAGCCCATCTGTAGGTAACTGGACATCCACTTACAGAAGGGTCGCGGGGAGGTGACAAGCTAGTCAGGGTGCTGTGTAGCAATGATGAAACATACAACTTTCCTCTAGTTCTTAAATGCTTCCTCCCCACCTGTTATCATGATCCCAATTCTACCTTACAAATCTGGCTAGATCAAAGTATATACACTGGTACAGATAGGAACTGGAAACACAGGAAATCCAGGACAGATGAACCCCTCAGGACCAGTGATCAGAGTGGAGATACTGGAAGGGTGGAGGAAGGTGGGGTAGAGAGGGGGAACTGATTACAAGGATCTACATATAACCTTCCTTCCTGGGGGATGGACAACAGAAAAGTGGGTGAAAAGAGATATGAGACAGTGTAAGATATGACAAAATAATATTAATTTATAAATTACCAAGGGTTCATGAGGGAGTGGGAAGGACGGGAAAACGGGAAAAACTGAGGAGCTGATACCAAGGGCTCAAGTAGAAAGCAAATATTTTGAGAATGATGATGGCAACAAATGTACCAATGTGCTTGACACAATGGATGGATGAATGATGGTAAGAGTTGTATAAGCCCCCAATAAAATGATTAAAAAAAAGAGTATCAGAAACCAACTAGTTTCCAGTGGTTTAACTCCTAATGGCACGACGTGAAGGCAGACCCAGATCCCCTGGGAAGGTCAGGTGGAGGGACAAGCTGGGGTGCATCATACAACACGCATCAGGCAGCCATTAGAAATAGAGAGAGAGCTAGCAGGCAAGGAAGGACCGGACTGCCTGGTACCCCATGAATGAAGCCAGTCTGAACAGACTGCATACTCCTGTGTGGCTCCGATTTCATAATGACCCGGGACAGGCAAAAGGATGGAGACAGTGCAAAGGTCAGTGAGTGTCAGGGGCTCAGATCGGGGGAGGTAAGGTGAGCCGGTAGGACACAGGACATGTTGGGGCAGGAGACTGCTGATGCTGTAATGGGAGACCTTCTGTACCAGGGGCCTTCAAAAAGGTACATGATCTTTTTCATTCATTCTCCCATGACCTTCTCTGAAGCACCCTGGTATTTGGCAAAGCACACAGAACGTACCACACAAAGAGGGAACCCTCATGTAAACGGTGCGCTTTAGCTAATCAGCTAATCCTAATGTATCCATATAGGTCCATCAATTGTGCTAAGTGTACCACGGGCATGCAAGACGTGAAAAACAGAGGAAACCATATTGGAGGAAAGGGGCCATATTGGAATTCCCTGTATGCTCTGTTGAGGTTTCTGAGAGCCTGAAGTTACTCTCTCTCTCACACACACACACACACACACACACACACACAGCGCCATCCAGTCGATTCTGACTCTTGGCGAACGGAATGAGCCCAGGGCTCCCACAGGAAGAAGCTCTTAGTGAGTGCCTTCCCCTCCAGATGAGCAGGCGCTAACATCAAGTCAAATCTCCCATATGGGGAGGAGGTTTCTGCTCTTTGCAGACTCTGTTATCCTCACTCCTTGTCGCGAGTCGAGTCGGTGCTGCCTCCTCGCGACCCTGAGGACAGGGCAAATGCACAGCCCCGGGGCTCGGAGAGGCAACTCTTTACGGGAGTAGAGAGCTGATTCTCATTCCGGACCTAGTTTCCTCAAGTGGCTGGTGGTTCCAGGTGTCTGGGCTTGGGAACCTTCCATCCCATGGCACAGCTGGTGCATGCGGACCTCCTCATGTGGGCAAAGAGACCCGGGCTCCTGCCTGCCAGCTCTGAGCTCCAGCAAGTTCCTGAACTCCCAGGACTGGCTCATCTTTCTCAGTGGAAAGCGGTGCCCAGATGTGCCTGCCTGTGAGGTGTTTTGCAGGAATCCAGTAAGCCAGCTCAGGTAAAGTACCTGGCAACGTGCCTCCTACGCGCCTGGAAAGGCCAATGACCCCGTGGGCCTGGGGAGCAAAGAAAATCCCTCCCCGGGAATTCCAGGTGTGTGTTGTGTGCCCATGAACCAAAGCACCAAGCCTATAATGCGAGGCCATCCCAACTCCGGGCAGCCCCGTGGGCACAGGGCCCCGCCAGGGCGCTCCTGTCTGTGAACTCGATGGAGGCAGATGGTCGGTCTTTATCTCACAGCACCTCCGAGTGGGTTTGAACTGCCAACCTTTAGGTTACACAAAGGGTCTAAGCTGCACACAGAATCCAGGCACATCTTGTATTGCATTTCCCTTCAGTGGATCCCCCCCCCGTCCCGCACCCCCCCTCCAAATTGACGGTTTGTGGTCACCCTGTGCTGAGCAACAAGGCACCTGGTGGCATACTGGGTTACGAGCTGGGTTGTCAGCCACAAGGTCAGCCGTGGGGACCCACTAGCCGCTCCGAGAGAGAAAGATGAGGCTTTCTGCTGGCCTACCCATTTCCAGTCTCGGCAACCCAGTGGGGCAGGGCTCGTCTGCCTGTCGGGTCACCAGTGGTTGGCACTGCTGGATGGTGGCTTGTTTGGTTTTCTGGTTTGCGCTGAGCAGGTCGATCAGGACCCTCCCTCCAATCACCTGCGCTCACCTTCAGGTTCGGAGTCGCGTTTCTTCTTCGGTAATTCGCACTGGAGTCCAGACTTTCCCCCAGAGCACGGGCACACTTAGCAGCTGTGGTAGCATCAACACAACTTTATGTGTGTGCCCAGGGAGTTCGCATAACTGACTTTACTGCAGTGGTCTGGAGCCGAGCCAGCAACATCTCTGTGAGATCTGCCTGTGTCCTGCACTCAGAGCCCATGCATATGTGTGTACACACCACACACACACACACCCCACCTTCTGTACTGCAGCCAAGAATGCCTGGCCGGAAGCGCCCTCCCTGGCCCCCTGGCCCTGGGACCGGGCACTTCCCGGTCTCCTCCATCATTATCACTCTGGGAGAACTTTCACTGCTATTTAACAGGTTCCCTTAGAAAGACAGTCTGTTCTGAAAGATAGATGGGTCTCTTTAGTCCTGGTGTTGCCTACATTGTTTATCACTCTTGACTCTCTTAGAGGCAAAGTGGTTCAGGTCCTCTGGGGACACAGAGAGGGAAGTCAAACAAGCCCAAAGTGGGATGAGAAGTCAGGCTCTCTGTTTCCCGTGAAGAACAGGTCTGGAAGATGTCTGTCTGTCCGGA